AGGCTCATCATAATTTTGAAGTAGACGCAGCTGATTTTGTTCAATGCTTTGTAAGCATGGATAAGTCTTGGGTTCAGCACTATCTGCCATCATATGACTATTGACCCTCATAGAACAGAAGTTATGTTCACAAGGGGAGTATGTGGGCCGGTGCAGTGCGGTGATGGACTGTGTTGATGCAGTGGTTGCTGATTACTTTTCAACATAATTACTTCTTTGGTCCACACAGTTGTTCCAGTGATATTAAAGTGCCTTGATCCCACTTGTGTTTAAGATTTCTCTTGTTGGTGTGAGAAAATCCTCCAGGGCAGAAACATATCATTTTCTTCATGTTAAGAAAGAGGTGGAAATCAGACCATGCCAAATCTGGTGAATACGCAAAGATGTTCAATGAGATCCTATAGGTATGTGATGCAGCCATGATGGACTTTATGGTGCATGGCTATCAGCACAGCAATTCTTCTCCATCTTGATGTGTTTGACTGATGTTTTAGAGTTTTTGTTAGTGAGTGACAATAAAGGCAAGATACTGGGTGACAACTTCTTTATTATATGATATCAAGAAGTTGTCATTTATTCTTCACCATGTCACTGCCAACCAGGGCTGCTACAGATATAGCTGGTCACTACTGGTTCATTCACTTCAAAGTGATTCTCTTCAAAGTGATCCACTTCTTTACTCAATCACATCAGCACTTCTAGTGATGCTTTCCAGGACACTTCTTGAAATCCTGATGACTTCCATAGGCCAGGGATATACTTATTTCATCATTATACTTAATGATGAGTTGTTGTGACCACACGTTTGGGGCCTATCATAACTAATATTCACTGAAATATTGTATCTTGTCAGCGGAAGATTAAAGTTGTCAACTTTCATTGTCGAGAGAAATTCAGACCAGCAAGCACTGATGGGACTTGTATAAAAAAGTCCCAGTCTTGGGCTGATTTCCTTACACCTTTTCATATGATCTTGTCCATAGCAGATGCCCTGTCAAGAGTGGTTTTGAAGTTGTTTTAGAGACACTTCACTTTGGAAACAATACCTGTATGTTTCCCAAACTGAAGCATCATCATCATAGTGAAAGGAATAGGTCATGCTTTCCATCCATTTTCAACAAGAAAAATATTGATGAAATATATAATGGATGAAGAAGTTTGATATGGGTCCTATTTCAATGACTTCACTTTTAATGGAAACATATTCTGCACCAGGACCTGTAAGGTGCATGCCTGCATGTCTCTACTAACTGAGGACACCAGCCATTCCAATGATTCCTGTTCCAAGCGAGCCATTTCCAACTGCAAATCTTGCTATTTGGAATCCTTGGTTACTGATGCACAAATCAAGGCAGAGCTTCCATGCTTTCATAAACAATTTCATGCTCAAAGATCTACATGTGGAAGGCTAATGATAACTCATGTTACTTAGTTCCATCACAGTCCACCTGTGATGATTCGGGTTAGAATATTGATCTTCATTAACCCATGCTTGTCGTAAGAGGCGACAAATGGGATTGGTCGGTCAGACTTGCTGACTTGGTTGACACATGTCATCGGTTCCCAATTAAGTAGATCGTTGTTCATGCCATTGATCACTGGATTGTCTGGTCCAGACTCGATTATTTACAGACTGCCACCATATAGCTGGAATATTGCTGAGTGCGGCGTAAAACTAAACTCACTCACTCCATCACAGTCTATCTAGGTAACAGTTGTCTGCAGGTCATTTTGACTGGTGGTAACATCAGGGCATGAACATCCACAGTCGGCAGTCACTCACTGGGCTGTTGACATCAACGTAAGATGCAATATGCAGATGTTGAACTTTAGCCTTTGCAGTGTTTTCTTTGGCATGGTTGGGATGAAACACACTGGACAGTTCAACCACGAAGTATCAGGAACTGCCTATGGTGGAAGATAATCTAGTAAAAACGTTTGTGATGGGGTGTCAAGATAACCCCTTGCATGCATCACTCAGAGATAAGGTGCAGATGTGGTGAAACAGATGTTGTGTCAACAGTTGGAAACTTCACTACGAGATTACAACCAACATTTGGCAGTCTGTGTATTCGCAAAACCTTGTATATTGGTTGGGGTTCGCAATGCTCTTGCCATCTCATGGAAAGATGTGTCATGCATGCACTTTTCTATTACCAGCAGTTCTGAGGAAGTTGGGAGAGATGAGACACATAGCTGCTTTTGAGGACACCAATTAAAATGTGGTTCCCAGAACTGAAAAAGATTACAGGGAACCAAACCCATCACTCACAAAGTCTCAATGGCTCTGCACATCTGGAACATGTGTAAAAGGGTTTTCTGTTACCGGAGGGTTTTCTGTAAAGCATCTTGAAAGCACTAAGTGGATTTACTTAGAGTCTAAAGTAAACTAACTGGTTTAATCTGATGAAAGCCACACCTATGTTCATTACTGACAACTTGCTGTTTCTATGTAGCTAAGCAGTTATAAGGTGGTACCAATGTTGAGCCAACAATTCCATACTTGCTGCTTTAAGGCCTGTAAAGATGTACACAGCACACGAAATAACAGCTTCAGAGCTCAAAGTCAGAAGATGTACATCAGACCAAAATCAGACAAAGACAACTGGAGATTCATGTCTTCCATTCTGGGAAATGAGGATACTGCTGTCATCATTATGTCCAGTGTGAACTTTAAACCACTATGTTGGAAGTGACATAGACTTTGAGGAGATTATTTCCTCAAGCAGCTAGGAATTAGAGCTCAGGTTAAAAAGGATTCAGATGACAATTCTGCAGGCTTATCAATATGACAATTTATTGCCATTTCAAGTGCATAATCCACTTGTCGTTAGGGTCTTGGTATCTAAACTAAACATGCAGATGGCCCTACAAACTAATTCCTCACTGGGTGATTTCATCGAGGGCTGCTTTCAGTGAAAGGATACTACTTGATACCACTTCTGAGGACATCTCTGCTGAAGAGATGAAGGTTGTCTATTTGTCTTAATGCTGCAGTTAATTGTCCGGAGAAGAAATTCAATCTTATCTGTGGGACTAGCCAACAATGGGAGTCTCTTTATGTCACCTTCCAAACACTGATCCTGGTTTGTAACTGAATTTCTGATTGGTCCATTACATTGAGCAGGGTAGTCAATCAATGGATGGCATACATCGAAAGTTGCAAGTTCATCACATCTAATCAGTGGGTTTAAAAGTCATCCAGAAAGGAAACAAGGATCACTTCCACCAAGGACTAAGTCTTATTTTACTTGTCAAGGAATCTTGGAAATAAATCGTGCACTCAAAGCATGGAAATATCACTTAATGCTGTCATCAATCCTAGTGGCCACAGTGAGTGCCACAAGATGGTACCAGGTCAACTGGATTCATGAACGATTGACACTCAAACAGACACAAATGTAGGCTGAAAGGTTGTCATATTCTATGGAATGTTACAGAGGAGGATAGTGGATTTAATAGAGAATTATAACATCAATTTGGGACACAACTCACCTGGATATATTTCACAACAACAAGTTCTGTGGAATCTACTGGGAATCCACGGATTGGATTGGATGGGAATGTGTGCATATGCTTTCCCATTGTGTTGTCAATAAATGAAGGTAAAATCTTTAACGACAATGGTTCTTCTCCTCCAGCAAAATGAAATCAATAAAGTCTTTGTGTTCCAAAAAATGTAAACGAGGCAGTGAATAAATGATGTACTCTTTTTTAGGTTTTTGGTGTGCTGCTAATAAACAACCTAGGGAATGTTTAATAAAAAATGATCTAAGTATGAGAAATTACATATTCTTTGGAAACCAAAGAACCAAACAAACAAAACTGATTTGAGTCCAAACATGATTTTATAAAGACGTGAAGAAAAGCTGTTTACTTTCACTAAAGAAACATCAGATCACATTATTAACATGGCAGTTAAAGATAAATTTGTTTCACATTTTGGCGTACTGTAAAATCACAGTTGTGCAGTTAAAGTGACAGGGATAGCTTGTTTTCATCTACATGGAACACATATCTTAAAGAATTCTTAAATCCAAACTCATTGATGCAGACTGATTATTACTTTGCTGAACTATTATTAAAGACCACAATTGTCTGAGTTGTGAAAACTGCAGTAATGTGGGTATAATGTCAGGGTTTACATACAAAGGTATAGTAAGTCAGGCTATAAAATCCTTATTTGATTGAGCTCTGGGATTAAATGGTTTGCCATGGGAGGTATATAAGAACACTTTGCACCCTTTCCCATATATACATCTATTGTTTAAGTCTGTTTTGGACACTGGAATTTTTCCAAATTCATGGAACACAGGAATTAAATTGCAGCTTTTAAGAAGGGAGACAAATCAGATCCTCACAAATACAGGACATCACAATGCTGAATGTAGTTTGGAAATTGTTTAGATCCATTTTTAAAAGCAGACTACTTCACTGAGTGGATGTAGAGGAAGTTATAATGGAGAAGACAAAGCTGGGTTTTTTTCAAAACCCATTATTCAACCAGTCCTAATATCCTTGTTTTACAGTCTTTACCATAAAATATCTTTGAAAACCAAATCATTGCTTCGTTGACATCCAGAAAGTTTTTGATTCTGCTGATTGGATAAAAATAATATTTCTGCTTTTACAGAGAGTCAAACATTGTTTAAGATTATGTATAAAAATATTTGAGTGTGTGTCATGTTTTAAATTTTTGGATGTGAGTTTCATGACAAGATGAACTAACCAGGGGATGTTGATCTTGGAACCGATGTGAAAATGAAAGCACATGAAGAATATCTTCTTCAAACAAGACTAGTTAGTATGTTGGTATAGTTGGTATGTACCTAGGATTTGCCTAAGTTAATGGGTAGGAAGATATTCCTGTGATTATTTACTTTGTCATATATAGAGAGCTTCTTATGACTTATTTCAGCAATGGCTGCTTATCTTGTGATTACATTTTCATATGCATGGCCAAGTTTGTATCTTTTGTATGAAATTGTAATGTTTTGTAGGAACTGGAAAGACGTGGAAGCAGAGGCAGCATATTTGGGACACTTGGACTTGGCTCAGATGCACCATTCATCAGTCAACGAGAAAGAAGACCAAGCTTTCAAGCATTTGGTGAAAGTGTGGTAAGGTGTAGAAAATAATTTACATCTATGATTAGTCAAAACAAACATAAATGATACAATTTATGAACAGGATGTCCCAAAACAAATCACCATGTACAAAAACAGTTCACTAATCACATAATGATTAATGCCAAACTGAATGAAACCTCTACCTCGTGCTCTGAATGGTAGACAACTTGAATCAGCTTTCTATCTTTAAGCTTTTCCATAAAACTATAGTTAGCTTCAACTGCCAAGACATCTTTTGAACATCTGGTTCTTTTTTAAATCTTAATTTCAGTTTATTACAGATATTACAGGTGATACAAAATGTATGTAATAATTGCATGAACAAACATAGCCAACTGGCAACATTTTACAATCCTAATATATATTCTAAAGTTATTTTTAATGCATATTTCAGATGCATCTCTTTTCCGGAAAGTGAATATGTTTGATGGAGGGACAAAACCAGTGAATCAGCCTTAAAGCCAAGTTTATGAGCTTCAAAAGAATCTTTGCAGGTCAACTTAGCAAAGAACAATCAAGCTATTGTCAGATCATGTCAAATGAAATCTATATTAATGTTCTTCCACTCATCCCTGATGCTGTTGAGGCAATGACACAAAAGTATTGACTTTGTGGAATATTTATGTCAGTCAGTACAAATATAGATAAATGAAGAATATGAGGAGGTCTTTTTAAACAAAGGTGAAATATTTTTATCCTACTCATTATTCTTTACAAAACTTTTATGAAAGAAACTGTCTGTGAGATAGGTTGTTTCCAATACAGCAGGTAACAAAGGTTAAATGATATGTTGATTCCTTGTAATAATCCCTCATGATAAGAAAGATATTGATGTTTACATAACCTGCAGGAAATGAAAAGTTCTATTTGATCACATCTGGACAAGGATTCAATTAAATTGAGTCTAAACATTTGGTATGGAGTGTATCATGCAAAAATAAATAAGTATCAGGTATATACAAGTCATGTCTCTTTTTAATTGTATATACAAAGTTCAACTCATTCAGTTTATGGATACTGTTTGTGAACTGGTTTAGTCTAAGAAACATTTTACTTTTCCTTTTTGTAAAAATTGAGGAGGTCAAAGTTGAAATTGACAAAGTAAATCTGTTATGGACTAAAGAAAAAATACTTCTTAGTTACCTGACATAGAGGGTTCAATGTTCTGACATATGTTCCATCTGCTGTAGTGCAAGTGATTACCTCTGCTGTAACTTAGCTAATGGCATGTTGTCCACTCCCCCTACCTTTCAAATGTAACATGTTTCGTATTTTGTGCCACAGTCTAAAATCCTTTTAACATCTTCATAGATGATGCTTTCATGTGCACAGAAGATACTTAAATTTACACACATGAGTATGATGTTACAATCTACTCAAGAGACGGTCATCATCTAGTATCAAACTATGAACTTGGTAACCATATTTTCTCAAGTAATCAATAATAGTTCCAGGTCTGTTTCATGTATAGAATTTTTCGGAGTATCAATAATGACCGACTTGTTGGATTTTCATTCAACCATGAAATGTCTTTATTTAGGTACAATCAATGAAGTAACTCTTCATTTTAGCGTGTCAGAATTTTGGTAGATGAATCTTTTTGATTTCAGTTGTGAAAAACAGAAAAACGCAAATAAAAAAACTCAACATGCTGCTAAAAGTATAAATAAATCATATATATATATTTGTATTAACTATATCCAATGTTTATACTATATATCCAAATAGGGTCCTAACTTTACAACACAGCATCACAGTCTCAGTAATGCCAAGCAAGATTATAATATCATCAACTTGATGTATTTTCTCGGTAGATGATCAACAATTTTAGACTGTGGTGTTAGTACACTTCCATACATTTCAGACATTCAAGCACATGCATAAAGCTTATATTATTGCATTGTAATAAAGTTTATGAAGTTAAGATGGTGTGTATTGGTTATGGAACTGCAGCATTATGTTTTTCTTATCTGTTTTTAGACTTATTTATCTTTGGCAGCCATATTAATATTGTAAATGACAATTTGTGTATTCAATACACTGTAACTTTATTGTGTTGAGAGGCAGGGTCTGATTTGTTTTCTAAATTTCTTACCTTTTGCAGCCACTTTTACTAAAAAACCACAATATTGAGAGAGTTTGGTTAAATATATTTCTCACACATTTCTAAAATATTTGAACCATAGCCTCAAATTGAAAATCTATTTTTTTCACTACTCTATAGTGAGTTAGGTATTTTGCTTTATCTAATTTAGCACTCAGGTAACACCTTCATGATCTTAATTTTGATATGTAGTAAATTACATTCATAATAACACTGTTTTGTTGTTGATTTGGTTTGTTTTGGGTTTTTTCTTTTCTTTTCTTTTCTTTTCTTTTCTTTTCTTTTCTTTTCTGTGTGTGTGTGTGTGTGTGTGTGTATGTGTGTGTTTTCCTGAACACTTGTGTTTTGGTTAAAATGTATGATAAAATATGGTTATAACAAACTGAAATTAGTGGTCCTTTTGAGTTTGTTATATCCAGACTTTACCAGATTATTAGGTGAGCTACCAAGTGTTAACTGAAGGTAAATTGCATATACAGTATTGTGCTAAAAATCCTGAACTGTTAAAATGTACAGTTTTCTATGATAAAGGTAACATATTCAATGGGGATTTCTATACCTAGTATTATATGCTCTATGTCCTAAATGGTATAGTTTAGGCAAGCATATTTGAAAATTTAAACTTTTTTAATGCAGGACACAACAATGTTGTCAGCCTTTTTCATCTGTAAAGATTTTGAGACGTGTACTGGTTAGGAGATAAACATAATGTGTTGGCCAATTTCCGGGTGTTATTGAGTATTTGAAGCATGGGAATATTTCATTTGAAACCTCCGGCTAACACTGTCAGTTCAAATTAATTCCCATCCTTCAAATACTCAATAACACCCAGAAATTGGCCAACACATGATGTTTATCGACATTGTAAACACAAAAGTAAACCGAAAGGTCCACACACGTTTTTGTGTCTGCACACGGGTACAGCAGTGAAGTGTCATCAGCTGGCTGTTTCAGCTGGTTCCCGTGGTAGCATGTGGAACTGCTCGTTTGTGACGTCATTCCGACCTTACGTCACAATATGATTTGAATGATGTCGCCACTGCTGACGACGCAACAATACAATTGTGTGCCATATTTGAATGTGTCAATATGCAGTGAATAGTCTTGCAATTTCGGGGGATTGAATACTAATCGATCATGTTGTTCAACCAATCAGATTAAAGAACACGGTGACTTTTGGTTTACAATATATGATCTATGCTGGATCCATTCACAGAATGTTTTACAATTTCATAATTTTGGTCATTGTTACATATCATATATACAACAGGGAAAAAGATCACTGTGCCCATATATAGATGTGCATATATTATGTTACTTTAAATAACATAACATTTCCTCAATGTGACAGTTTCAATGACAAAACCCATAACTGGCAACAGGAGATAGGCGACATGTCCTAAAAGAGATGTGGTGTAACAGCTCATTTTACTATGTCAATACTGGGTGTGACAGCCATTTGGGTTGATACAGGCAAATGAGGCATAGTGCATTGAAAAACCAGATAATCTAGATGAGGCCAGACCAATATTATTTCTTGTTTTACAGATCTGCCAGTCGTATTTTCAAGAATATGAAAAAAAATAAAAGTTAAGTATCCTCACTCAAAATATAACATCCTAATGTTTTACTGGTCAAAACAGTAAATTTACTAGAATTTTTTTTTAAGATTGTGTTTGGCCCCATCTACACTTCATAAATGACCAAAAGTAAAATACTTTTATTATTTATTTTATTTTTACCTTTTTTCCCTCCTGCCTTTAGGTTTTCTGAGGACAAAAATCCGTAAAACAAGAAATAAAATTGGTCTGGCCTGATGTTCTTTCAAATGTCAACTGAAGATTGATAAGAGTTTGAGTTATAACTTGTTTTGGTCCTCTTGTTCTATCTCATCAGTGACATGTTCCCAAGGGTACTGGCCGGGAAAGACGGATGGCCATGGCAGCACAATGCTATGTTTGCCTCAGGCTGTTATGTGTGCAATGTGTGGGTAGGCATTTTCTTGCTGCAACATGACACAATGTCCCTTGCATTTGAACAAACGGTAGAAAGATGTCTTCCCCATAGTGTATACTCTATTCAGACTTCCAATTATAATGATGGGTAGTTTCTCAGATGAGCTATGATGCCTCCCTATATTACCCCAAAACTGACAAAACTGAGTAATGCAAAACATTCTCCTGCATGCTTCAAGACTCTTGCACGACCATCAGAGCTGTCCAGATGAAACCTGCACTCTATGAACAGTATACAGTCCCAGTCTTGTCTTCTGAATCCCACATTTCATTCACACCAAACTATGCATGTTTGTTGACGTGGAAGCAAACCTGGGTATATTGCTGGATGTTGGTACCGGATGTTGTACTCCCTAAAATGTTCCTTACTGTTATTCCACAAATTGGTCTCAACACAGTAATTGTCCAAGCTGTTGATGTTCACACATGAGTGTTGCCCTGCTCCAGATAACATTTCCAAGAAGGTAATATTGTTTTTTGAAGAACATAAAATTGTATGACAACATTGTGTTATAACATTCCTGTTTACAGCATACCCAGGATGCACAGACACTTATTTTCAGCAAGCAATGTTTTTTCATTAGAATCATCGTGTGCTTTCTCATTCAGGGTACATGTGAGTATCTTTCTCCTAAAAAGCACACAAACATCCAAATCGTGGGTTGTGTAAACCATGAATCATGTTAAACGTGAGGAGATGTCTGCATTAATACGTAATTTCAGGATAAACTGAATTATATATGAAGCAAAATTGTCTTCTGCAGTACCATGTCAAGACGTACAACTAAGGATCAAGATTTTATGCTTATGATTTGGATGAAGTTGGTGTGTTATCTTACATTAACAAATCTCTCAGATTCAGATTCATTTTATTCAGTATTTTGGGCCTAAAGGCCTATAGTACCAATACACTAGCTATAGTTAAATGCACGTAGTGGTGGTGGTGAAATTTCTTGCATTGAAAACATGTTTTAAATAAATTGCAATAGATTTAATAACATCAATGTTCTTATAAATTTAACAGACTGGACAATATCTGTTAATCTCTTATAGGTGCTGATATTAATGATAAATACTTACTTCATAAATCTGAATACTTGGTACACACAAATAATACATGAAATTCACTTTCAATATTACCTGTATTACAATTTTTACAGATTGAGTCATTATCATTACTAAAAGCTCTATTGGATTTGTGTAAATATTGAATTCTAAAATCATGAAAACCAATTCTACATTTACACAACGCCCGTATTAACAATTTATCTTGTAGATTCATAATATTAAACTCTTGTTCTAACAAAGATTTATGAGAAGAATAGTGTTCTAAAAAACTTATTTATTGACATAGACCATATGCATTCTTGGAAGAAAATGTCCTGAATACGTTGTTTAAAAATATATAAAAATATACATTCATTCCCAACCTCTTGTGAAATCCATACATGAGAAAATCCAGTCGAAAAAAGTAACTATCTAATTTTCTCAGATGCCCAATTAAGTTTACCATTATGATCTTGTAACTTTAGGAAAATATAACTTTGCCTAGGGTACCTATAAGAATCCATTTTTGATAATTTCAGCCAAAATTTTATTACTCTTAATCTAGTGAGTACAAATATAGTGCAAAGACCAGTTTCCCCTAATACAGCCTTATTTGAAGCATACTTTCCCAAATTTAGGAAGCATTTGAAATATTATGCATGAACCTTTTCTATACAGTGAAATTATTTAGTTCCCCAAATTTCGGACCCATATATAAGAATCGGTAAAATCTTACCGTCAAAGATGGTACAAGCAGCTTTGAAATAAATAAAAGAATTCTTTTTGAATAACTGGTATACAGATTGCATAGCCTTTGATGCTTGAGCAGATAAACATTTACAGGCTGTTGACCAATTTAGTCTGGATGAGAATAAACCCAAATATTTATGATACGAAACACATTTCAGTGTTGTATTACCATAATACCATATCTCATCCTTTTTTAACACACCTCCATTTCTGAACACAATAATATTAGTTATCTCAATGTTAACACTCAAACCCAAAGTAATACAAAATTGATACAAAAACATTAAGTTGTTGCTGTAAACCAATGACTGTATAGGAAAACATATTTACATCGTCAGAAATAATGACATCATAATAACATCAATGTCTTGAGATATGAACACACCATGTTTACAGGATTTATAAATTTCTGCAGCAAGTTCACTTGTAAACAATACTCTTCCCTGGCATGGAAAGTTTTGGGTAATACTTGATAAAAATATCCTCAAGATATTGTCATTGTGTAGGTAAATGTTGTCTTGGCCATGATAGAGAGCTAGTAATTATGAAGCATATCAGAAACCTGTCCTGTTGCAAGGATTCTGTTTCTGAGTCATTGTCAGAAGTTCAGTAGCCAGCAGCAGAAAGAAAAATGTACATTTGTGACTGAAGTAGGTAGACCTTGACTAACCCAACAGGTCATCATATGTTTGTTGTTGTGCCCTTGATATTTCACAACAACAAAGGTAGATGTGTTATTTCTTAGTGGTAGGGGACAATTACATAAACTGTTGAAAAATGACCAAAAAATGGAATACTTTTCACACCTTCTATTCCAAATGACAAGATATCCATTCACTATTTTCATTTAAAAAACATGTTGCCACAGATGTCATCATTATAAAAGCAAAAAAATCCAGATTTTATTCAAATCAAAATTATGTTTTAAATATAATCCAAAAAATCAATTCAGATTTTGGATTTATGAAATCTCTCATTATTTTGCAGATTCATATCAGTTATGTTAATCCATTATAACATAAAAAAGTGAGCGAAATATAATATAAATTCATCTCAGTTAATGCATCTACTGTCAGCTGTGTTATAACTGATTGGAATAGGTGTAAGATAAGGTAAGAGATATTACAGTACCTACACATCATTATAGTGAGGC